ACTGGGAAAGATGGAGAAATGTCAGCCTGACTTAGTTAAGAAAGGAGAAACCATTGCCCCTTTAATAATAGTGCTAGCAGGATATGCCATATTGTGCTCCCAGTATGTGAAGATATCAAGTGTTAATGAAACAGAAAAATATGTGAGTATTTGTTGCTTGCCAAATGCCAACTAAGTACTGGGAATGCTTAGGGAGATCATACTTCCTAAGGCATTTACAGTCTTTAGACAGGCAAAACTTTTGTTGCTTTCTCAAAAAATAAACTGTCCTTAGTAACAGCTCTAAGTTTTGGCTGTTGGTGTATAACATGAATTATTTTGCAGATGTGGTTGAAGTTTTAACTGTACTTCTCTGGTTTAAAGTATAGTTGCTGTGTATGAGACTTGGACAAAAAGTGTGGACAGTAAAGTGAATGAATTCATTTTTTTCTGTCACCATTTGGTAAATAAAGTAGGGAAGGGTTTTTTAGTATGTTGCTTGGTTATCGTGAGTGTGAAGGACTAATTGTGGATCAGTCATATAACGATTGATTATGCAAGTTAAATCAGTTTGGGTAATACTAATAGGAAACTTCAGAATGTTTCCTAGTTCTGTTTTGTTTAAAGGGATGGTGTCAGAGACTACTTGTGTAAAATGCTGTTTAACAGTAAACTTATGGTTAATAAGTTGGGTGCCAATGTAAATGTCTGGCACAAATATTTAAAAAATGTGCTGCTGTTTTAATATTTGAGGGGCCATTACATGTAGTTGTCTTTTCAAATGTTGAAAACAGAACAAATACCTGAAAGAGAGATGGTTTCCATAGGCTTTGTAAACCCACCCAAAACAATCAGAGAGCTTTGAAGAATGTTCTGAGGCAGTTACACCACTGGGGAATAGCTCGTGGCATTTCTGATTCCTAAATAATGTTCTCGAATTAGATAAGTACAGCATTAATCATCTACATCCTAGGAAAGTATATCAGAGGCCCACTAGTGGTTGTCCTGGAATTTGTGTGCCTGGGGCACATACAGTAGAAATGGCGTTCATACATTCCCAGTTGAAAACAAACATCCTGGGTTTATTTTATTTTGTCATATGATTTCAGGTTCTTGAGGCTGGTTGATGATACTGTGACTTGTTACAGAAGCAGACTGCATTATCTATGATGGCTTCTCTCTGGCTTCAGAAATTGCATATACTTAGTTCAGTCAAATTGACTTCTATGTAATTACACTAGTGCAAACCAAGTTAATACATCAATCATCTTAAATCACGCCTGGGAAACTTTTGTATATGCATGTTTTGGAGCAGAAACTTGAAATCTATAAGAGTAGGCACTTACCTTGTGTTGTCTCCATGAAAATCTCTCCCAATTCAGCTCAATTTATAAACATCTAAATATCTCAGTAAATAGTGTTTGGCAGCTCAGTTCTCCCAGTGATGCTAGCTGGATGATGCTGTTTCAGCCCAGGAAAGCAGAAGCTCAGCAGGATTTTCTTTGCAATTGTTCCTCTTGGCAGCCAGCAACAGCGGTTGCACCAGAAATAGTAACAGAAAATAGACTTTTTCTCCTGTGCGCTCAATATTCTCCTTGCTGGTACCTAAGCACAGAGGAGGAAAAAAATAACTGGAAGACATAACTGTGAAGGGAGGAGCTGGTTACAGGCACAGGGTGGGACTGGGCTGACTGGGACTAGAGTAGGACCATGGAATTGAGGGGTGGTGAAGTGTGGGACTGGTGGGTGGAGCCCAGGCATTTGAGGATGCTGGATCTAGACCAGGGGTAGGCAAAATGCAGATTCGGCCAGTGGCCGGACTCTGTTTCCCAGCAGCCCCTGCCTGTGTCGCTCCAGCTGGTCTCCATGAAGACCCCAGGAGCAGCGGGGCAGTGACAGCGCAGGGCCAAGTTGTCTGTGGAGACTAGCCCAAGCAGTGCCTGGCTGGGCTGGGAGTTGCCCTGGGGCTGGGGCTGGGATTTTGCATCAGCGACAGTGTGGACCAGAGCCAGGGCAGAGCCATGATCCACTACCTGCATGCTCTTGCATGGGGCATGTGGATGGTGGATCATGGCTCTGCTCTGGCTCCTGCCTGCTCTGTCACCATTGCAAGATCCCAGCCCTGGCCCTGAAGCAGCTCCCCACCCAGCTACATGCCCTGCCTGCAACACTTGGGCAGGTCTCCATGGAGACCTAGGGAGCACAGGCCCATCACAACCTCATGCTGTCATGGCCCTGCCACTCCAGGGGACTCCATGGAGACTGACTGGAGAAAGGGCTGCTGGGAAATGATGTCCACTGTGGGCCCAATCCAGCGACTTTGCCCACCCCTGGTGTAGATCAGAGACCAGCTGAAAGAGCCAACAGTGCAGAAGAGTTTAGGCTGGAGAGACTGGGGTCAAAAGAGATCAGTCTCAGTGTGGGTGAGGGCAGAATGGTTTTATTCACTATCTGTGCTCCTCCCCAAACCTGAATATAACATAGGGTTCCTGTGTTTTGATATTTATTTTTTTGTCAGCAAATAACTGAGGCCACCAGTAGACAATCCGTTGAAGGCCTGATGGGATCAAATCTATGACCTGAACAATCATGTCTCCTGCCATGCCACGTGCATGTCGGAAGGCATGATTTTGAGAGGGATGAGATCCAAATTGTCATAACTGCCAGTGCAGAGGGAGCCCAGGATCATTTTCGTGGGCTTCCCTTGCAAGGTGCCTGATAGTCAACTGATTGTCAGCTGGCTCCAGGGACCCATGGGGCCAGTTTGAGTGCCTGTGAGGTCCCCCAAGATGGCCAGTCATCAGCAGACCAAGAGTCAATCTGCCGACAATCAGCTGATTGGGAGCACTCCATCACTTGAGCCCTGGAGCACTCCAGTTCAATGACGATTGATAGATTGGGAGTACTCCATGGCTCAAGCCAAAGGGCACTCCCATTTAGCCGAACATCAGCAGGATTAGGACCGGAATGGGCTGCCCAATTCAGTCCCGCTTACAGGACTATCAGCTGATTGCCGGCCAGTGAGGACCCCTCCAGCCATATGTTTGATATAAGGTGCGATGTTATTACACATACACTTTGTGGCTGGATTCCTGTTTCACTGCACCATTAATAACCTGAACATGTGGCTGGGTTACACTTTAAGCTGATTAACTGATTATTGCATCTTACATATAATATCTGCCATGAGCCTGAGAGACTTGCAAAACATGGTCTTCATCTCTGTCTAGTGGCTGCCCCACACAGGGTACCAACAGACATTTAGGGAGCACACTCTAACTTATGTCACTTTATGCAAACAACAAACTTTTGCCTTTTGGTTGAGGGGGCACTTGAGCGTGCCTGCACTGTCCCTGGGAAGCAGGCAGGGGAACTCCAGCAGTCCCCAGGGAGGCTGCCAAACCACCCCTCTTCCCAGCCCTGTCCCTTTCCCTGGCTCCAGCTGCAGCAAAACTGAGCCAACAGATGTGTGTTGCTCCATTTAACAGGTTCCAGTAGAGGGTGGGAGAAGGGGAGGTTCTCTTCCCCCATCCCTGGTTTGGGTCTATTGACAGCAGCACCGCTCAGCTACCAGCTTGGCTTTGCTGTGGCCAGCGCTGGGGGCATGTGAAACGGAGCCCCTTTGCCTCGCATGGCTCCCCCAGCCACCCTGGCAGGGTATTGTGGGGAGTGGGCTAGGTACCCTCCTCCCAGCTCTGGTCATGGCAAATCCCAGCCGGCAGCTGTGTTCCATCTCTGTCGAGATGCCTGGGCAGGGAATGGGAGAAAGGAGCCCTACCTCTCATCTTGCAGCACCGCCCTCCCCCAGCTACCCCTTGGGGAGTCAAGTTGGGCCCATTTGGCTCCCTTCCTTTTGACAGCAGCAGCACACAGCTGCTGGCAGGGATTTGCCATGGCCAGAGCTGAGGCAGGGAGCTGAGATGGAGCCTTGTCTCATGGGCCCAGCCTGGCTTCCCACAAAACCCCAGCCAGGGTAGCTGGAGAGGGCCCACAAGGCAAGGGGTCTCCATTCCACCATGCCCTCCCTCTCCAGCTCCAACCATGGCAAAGCCCAGCCAGCAGCTGTCCTGCCCCCTCCCTGCCCCACTTACAGCTCTGGGTGTGGGGCTGGGCTGGTGCGAGCATCAAGCTAGCTCTTCAAAAGTGCAAAAAATTAAGCTGTGAGGGAGTCTAAATGCAAGTTCCCTAAGGCACTCTGCTCTGTAGTGCCTTCAGTTAATAGCTGATTTATGAAGTTATTTTTTTGCATGATTGCCCATTTTAAAAGTGCACTGCAGCCCTGAATGTGTTATATCACACCTGTAGAGTGCTTTTAGGGGCCAGATCACACAGAAAATGTAACTTGTGCAAGCACCCATAGATTATGACAGCCCACTGCTGCTACTAGTTAGTCTTTAGCTCAGTTGGCAGAGATCTAGGCTGTGGAGTTAAGGAGTCTACCCCTGCCAGTGACCCAAGTGGATGCCAGTAATTTTGTATCATGAAATTTCTGGTTTTATCAGTTTGCTTTTTTTTTTTAGAAACTTAGGAAGTTGCAGACAAAACAGACTGTTGAAAGAATATTAAAAGGATCTTGTGTATATGCATTATGATACAGCCTTTAATTATATGATCATATAATGTCCTCAGGACCCATGCTTTATTTAGTGCATAGAGTGGACAGTGCTGTGAGAATGAATCAGGCTTTGTAGTACATGTACATCACTTCATTTTTCACAGGTTGTCATTAGTTGTGGCTCACTATATGCTCATTCTGATACAGCTGAGGATCTGATATGCTGAACATTTACAAATGCAACTGAAGAGACAGGGAGCTGTGTTCTGAACAAATAAAGTGCTAGTGCAAGTGACGTTTTCTGAAAAAGTCATCCCAGGAGCATCATAATTTGAGCACCCAAAATTGGTGTACAGTTTTAACATTAATTTCTCTGTGAAAGGACTTCAACTCTATCAACATTTATAATTAATTTCTTTGTATATATTATTAAAAATATATTCTTTTTTCTTGTATTGTTATGGAGATCTGCCAAGTGGTCCACATACATATCGCTTAGAAGATCTTGCCTATACCAGAAGTGGAGACAAAGGAAACTCTGCCAACATAGGTATTTTTATTTTCTAATTTATAATATAAGGTAAGATTTTCAACAGGAGTTAGGTGCTAAATTGCCAGTTCTGCTTTTGAAAATTTCCCCACAACCTCTGATTCTTTTCTTATTATTTAGATGCTGAAATGAGTGTATATACATCCTGTCATATCAAAAATCATCTCTTAATGAAATATATTTGGCTCACTGTAACTTATTGGAATCATCAAAGAAAATCTTACCTGCTTATTAAACTCATATAAAATACTTGTAGATCATAACATATACAAATACTTTGTCAGATAAATGTTATTTATGGTTTCATAGACAAACACTCAAAAGTGCTTTACGTGGGGTGTCTAGGCAGCCTAATTTCTCCTCCATTTTGCATTACAATGTGGTCTCCTGTTTATGTGATCACATCTTTTCCCCATAAATTGTATATTGCATTTATAGAGCTAAATGTTTGTGATAGTATTTGATAGTCTGAAAGTTCTTTTTACATGTAAGAAATTGTTTTGAATCACCTCTTTTGGTCCAAGTATTTTATTTTAGTGTAATTACACGTATCCTCCTCCTTGCCTTATTTATTAATTCCTTCTATTCCTTACTTCTGCATGCATCAAATGGCTCTCTTATTTGTTGGAAGATGAGAGAGTGTGATGTTGAAATCTCAGTATGAATTAAAGGTGCGTTTGGAATTTGATTTGCTAACACCTGTCATGCTAAGGCTAATAAAGTAGGCTTTGTTTATTTAAAAGGAATACAACCTTTTCATCCTTGTCTATAAAATTGTGTCCTGTTCAACAATGATGGAATTTAATATTTCTGTTTAATAACTGCATGCATGTGCATGTTAGCTTTATTAAACTATTAAAAATAATGGGTATGATTAAAGGACTTTCTTAAAATATACAGATAAAATATTTTTAATGACATAGATGGTAAATCCATGTCCTACTAAGCTTACATTAACTTTGGGTCTACAGACACCTATATCCCAGCATAGGTCACCAGATTAGCATAAAACACTAATGTCCTTCTGCTTGATTCATCTCACTGGGGAACATCAGCTTCTCTATGGAGTCACATAGACCTTTTTTGGAATCTGCTATAATTTGAGAACTATGTGTTTGTAGATATGTTCCTAATTCATTAAAAGAAGGAAATAACATAGATGCACCTTTTAGTCCCATAATTGACTGACCCTGGGAGTGTCTAAACATTCATTAATTTGCTTTTGCTAGTACATATTAAATTGAGTAACTCTGGGCATCTATACACATGCTTTGGGTTGGGGGATAGGGAATGCCCTAATAGAGCAGCTTGGGCTGCTCTGATGAAAGCACCCACAGTGTCATGTGTATACAGTGTCCTGCACTTAGTGAAAGTGCCCCCGCTGCTATTTTGAAGAATAGGGATGCTGAATAATCATGATGTGGAGGCTGCTGGAGTACGTTAATTAACACACACCAACGTGGGCTAATTCTCATGTGTTGGAGCATACGTGTGACACATGTATAGGTGCCCTCCATTGTGAGGGACTAGAAAAAGGTGCATTAGCGAAAACACATTTTTGTGGCACTTTAATGCTCATTAAAATAGGCTAATGTGCATTAAAGTGCACATGTAGACCTGCCCCCTATCAATATTCCTTTAGTGCTAATTACAATAACTTCTTACTGTACATACTTCAAACCATGAGTTCTGAGAAGAGGAGATTCACATTTCCTTTCTTTGTCCTTTTCCCTTTTATTCTTATCCATCCTTCATTGGCATGGACAGTTACAATTAATACCACAAAGCCTGGCAGCATTCAGTCATGTCACTCATCAAGTTAGTTTCCTGCTTAGGGATGGAAGCCTGTTGCTGTAAGTTTTGATTAAAGAGAGACCATATGTATAGCTTCAAATAACTGGATGATCTCAGGTCCATTTTGAATATTAAAATCTAATTTGTTTTAGTAATTTATTTTAACTGACTGTCTCATGTAACAGGTGTGATAGCACGGCATCCTCTCTATTACCCGTACCTAAAGAAAACTTTAACAGCTCAAGCCCTAGAAGATTACTTCCAGCATCTTTTAGAAAGAACAAACCCTGAAGAAAAGTTAATCACAAGGTATGTGTGTTCCTGGTTTGTCCAAATTAGCTCATTGAGGCATTATAGCATAATTGTAAACTGTTTTAACAGAAAAGCTAACAAATGTAGATTTGCAATATTTTATGTTATCCAAGGTTGCTTTACATGGTAGGACTAAATTCATAGGCTAAGGAGTAGCCACTTGAAAACAACTCCATTATAAGGCTAGATGAAGAACAATGATTCTGGGAAATTTCAAAATTACAATATTTACTCAATTCTAAGATGAGGTCCCCCCATTTAATATGGCAAAATTGCGCCTTGTCTAAGACTCTCTTACAAGGGCAGTGGTGGGAGACAGGTGGCTGCTGTGGCTTGGGCTCCAGCCCCTACTTGGGGTTGGGGCCCTAACCACAACTGCTGCCTGCCTCTCCATCTTCCCCTGCTGCCTCTGCATTTCACTGTCTCCCCCCTGAAGTCTCTTCTCTTCATTTCCTCCCTGTACCATGCAGCCTCTGCTCCCCTGCCTGCCCCACTCGCTCCCCTCCCTTACCTTTTCTCCATGTCGGCAGGCTCTGTGCATGCTGCAGCCTGGGACACTGATCATGGCTCTAGCCCTGCCCTGTAACAGCAGTGCACAACCTACAGGGCTGCTGCAGGGGCAAGGCTGGGGCCATGCTCAGTGTCCCAGGCTAGAACAGGGATGGAGCCTGCCAGCACGGAGCAGAGGCAGGGGTGGGAGGAGTGGGGGAGAGCAAAGGCTGGGGGGCAGGGGTGACCCAAGGCTGTAAGGGGTCAGGCAGGGGTCAGAGGTGGCAGTGGGGCAGG